ATGAATGTAATGGAGTACTACTGTGCTATAAGAAATGATGAACAGGCAGACTTCAGATAAATCTGGAAAGACTTGTATGGTTTGATGCTCAGTGAAGTGAGCAGAACCAGAAGAACGTCGTACACAGTAACAGCCACATTGTGTGACGACTGACTTTGATAGACTTAACCCCTCTCAGCAATACAAGGATCTAAAACATCTCCGAAAGCCTCATGATGGTAAATGCTATCCACATCCAAAGAAATCACTATGGAGTCTGAATGCAGATCGAAGCATACTATTTGCTATTTTTTTTTCTGTTGTGTTTTGTTTCCCCTTTCTGGTGGTTCCTCTTATTAATGCTAATTCTTACTTACAACATCACTAATGTGAGAATACGTTTAATAAGAATGTATATGTATAACCTATATTAGATTGCGTGCTGATTTGGTAAGGGAGGTAGAGAAAAATTTAAAACTCAAAAACTTATGGAAATGATTGTTGATAAATCAAAATGAATTAATTAAACAAAAAAAAGCTTACATTCTAATGGTAGAGATATCTAAATAGATAGGTACATACAAGAAATACACTGAGTATGCTTTCATCAATACCAATTTGATTTTTGGTAAACAGTGCTGGATTTAGTAAGGATCTGGGTTCATACCTATGTGATAAATCATTTGATCTCTCTGGGTTTCAGTTTCTTCACCTATTAAATGAAGGGGACCCCTTCCTGCTCTACATTTGTGCTCCTATAAAATCAGCTGTCTAATTATACACAGGCAATTGACTTGGAAAGGACTCTCACATCAGTTACTAATCTTGTGCTGTTGGTTAAAATACAATCAATTTCATTTTAATGTTATTGTTGCCTAACAAGTTTTTATGATGTTATTTGGTGCTCACTTCCAAATCTTTTGTCAAAGAAAATATTCATGATAAATAGGTATGAGTCTTCTATAAGACTTTAGCATCTTTTTCAGTATTATTCCTGAACCAAATTTTCTGACATATTTTTTGCCTTTCTTCTCTGCCCATCTTTGTAGCTGAAGTCTTGGAACACGAAGTTATGTTGATTTGATTTGAAGGATCTTACTGTGTTCTTCACAGAATTTTTCTAGCTCCTTATTCTCTACAACAGATGCTGGTATATAAATAAGCTACTGATATTTTCATAAAAGACTTTTGCAAATGTTTATCACAAGCACTGAAATAACAAAACAGGCAACATGTCCCATGAAATCTTTTTCTTATCATTATCCTTGGATGCACGATTAAACCAACTCTCCTAACTTCTTTATTTACCACTCTAAGGAAAACCTGTGAGCTGTCCTTCCATTTAACTGCAAGTTCCTTTTGTCTTCTGCTTTCATTTACAAAAAGAATGTCAAGATTGAAATAACTCAGATCCTGAAGCATCACTGGCATTCAACAAATAGGCTAACAGTATTTATGAATAAAACTTGCCAAAAGCAAAGAATATGATTCAGTGTCTTCCAAGTTATTACTTTAAAAGTTTCTACTGGCTCAGATTCTTATAATCTAGCCATGGGCTCAGACTCTTACAATCTAGCCAATAGCTCACAGATGCTCGGATTCCTTAAGACCTGGCCGTTATGAAGGATGTTCTAATAAATCTTGTCTTTGGCTGAAAGAAGGCTTGGGCTGAATTCTCTTGGACAGGAGCGTGGGTTGTGATTTTGGGGTCTCAGAACCCCCAAACCTCAACATTTTGGTGGCCTGTATGGGGAAACTGCCTAACCCCAAGATGTTCTCCAGCCAAGACTGGAAGGTATTTAAATCTCTCCCCCTTCTTTCTTGCCCTGCAGTTGGGCTGCTCTCCAAGCACCCAGGAAGGCTTGAAGGTGCTTTTCAGCCAGACAGTTACAAAGCTGTCTCATACTCGGACTGACACTCTCAGGCTCTTGGTCCACTGGTTTGGTTTGAGGCCATGGACCTGGGTACGCCTTCCGCAGCAAGGAGGACAAGGATGGACACCCTATCTGGAAGCGTATGCCCAATTCTGTCAAATCTCTTGGCGCTAGGGAAATGGGAAAACTGCAGGTGCTTTTTTGGTTCCCTGAAGCTTACTTACTCCATTCCCTCTACATCCCTGAATCCTCCTTCATGGAGGTTAAAAGGGGAAAGTTAGAACAGCAAAAAACATCTTAGCAGATTGTGGAGATTTTATGATTATTAAGGAGTGTTTCAAAATTCTGTATAACGGGGGCAGCTAGGTGGCGCAGTGGATAGAGCACTGGCCCTGAAGTCTGGAGGACCTGAGTTCAAATCCGGCCTCAGACCAAACACTTGACACTTACTAGCTGTGTGACCCTGGGCAAGTCACTTAACCCCAATTGCCTAAAAGCAAAAAAAAAAAAATTCTGTATAACGTGGGTCACTCCCTTCCCTTGAGTCAAAAGGGTATCTGTTAACCCTTCTCATAGGAGAAGAGAGTTTCACTCTTTCCTCCTCACCTTTGATTTCACCCTCCCCCACCTGGGGAAAGGAAGGAGGGGGAAGGGGCAGCAGCTACAGCATGGGCCCCAATGGCAATGGCCTTGGGCCCTAGGGCAACCTTTGCTTGGAAGCATCATCCAGGTTCAACACATCCTGCTCAAGGCAAAGAAGCTGACCTTTGAACTTGGGTAAACTGTATTTTCATACCAAGTGTGACATATCAGAGCCAACCTTAATGAGGGATTCAATCCTGAATCAAGTCTACCTTGCAGTTGGAACCCAGAGACTGGTTATGAAAAGGTACCTGCACAAGGATTCCTTGAAGCCAGAGTGGAAAGGGCCCTACAAAGTCCTCCTGACCAAATCCCCTGCTGTGAATTTGAAGGGAGTTGAAAATTGGATGCATCTGTCACCTGAAGAGGGCTCCAACCCTAAACTGATCACCCAGTAACCTGGAAAGGACATGTTATGCAATTTCTCTCTGGATCTACTTTATGACTGTCTTTGACTTCTCTCACCAGTCAAAACACCCCTCCCTGACCTCCACTCCATTATATGTGTTCTTTTTATTCAGATATAATGTCTCTGAAGGCAGAAACTATTCTCCTTTTTATATCTGATGCTTAAGATAATGCTGGGAACATAATAAGCATTTTATACTTCTTAAATTCATCCATCCATCCATTTATCCATTTTCCATAAAATTTGTGCTTTCATTAATATTATTTTAAAAAGCAATAAATGTTACTAGAATCCATATAGTAGTCCCTTAGACAAAACGTTTCTAAGATGACCTCTTTTTAAGTGACCAAGAGAAATTTCAGTCAACTTCTCCTCATGAAGGGTTATAGAATATTAATACTGAGGGGGCTCTTTGGGGATTCCTTATGGAATATTAATACTGAGGGGGCTCTTTGGGGATTCCTTTTGCCAGAGAATGGTTAAATAGTGGATCATTTAGTTGCTCCAGAGAAAGGAAAAAGTGATTTTTATATTATACCATCAGAGTCAGTACTGTCCCTTTATTATAACGTATACCTTAGGGTGTTAAAAATTCATGATTTTCCTGATAGTAAATCTGTACAATCCCACACTTTTAGTTATTTCTAGTACTTTGATTCGTTGCATATCCTCACTACGCATGTAAAGTTTATGTAGTTATCCAGAGTGGAAAAAAGTGCAAAATAACCATTTTCCCATTACAGGTTAAATTAAATACTGGTAGATTTCCCACATCATGAAAATAAAACACTTTCTGAAGCAAAAAAAAGTTTCTACTAAATGGGCTTACAGATATCTGAGCACTGACATGTGGATGCAGAATGTGCCAAAAGACTATCCCAACTAGGTCCTACATGGTCCATGAAGAGATTTCCATAGCAGTTTCTTTTCACTATTACACTATGTTCCAAGCACCCATTTTTAAAAATTCTTCTGATACTTCCATGTCATAGCTAATTTTGGGTAGACCTACTTCCAGCATTTTCAGCCGTATCTTCCATCTGTGCCAACTAGTTTAAATGTGGCAAACTCACCACCAGTTTGATTTTCTGCATTCTAACATATTTCAAGGATGTGTGATTTCATCTATATAGGTCTTCCCTCCACAATGTAGAACTCAAGCCCTCCACTGTGTTACCAAATGATTAAATTTTTCTTTAATAATTTTTTTTAATCATCACCTCTTAGCCAACCTTCTGATACTAAGATTCTACTCAGCTAGGATGGTCCTCAGACACACTTATACACAATCCAGTACCAGGCCTATGGTCAAAAGCTTCTCACTTGGTAGAACCTACCAGACTTGTGCCTCAAGAACACAAGATCACTGTTAAACCACAAAGCACCAAGAAAGTAAGACTTTTGTTTATCCTATCATTTCGCAAAAGAAAAAAAAAGAAAAAGTCCAAAATAATGACTATAATATAATCACCTAATTCAACAAAGATTTATCTACTGATCTAAAGTTCATATTATGACCATGCTGGGTAATGTAGGGGATAAAAAGATGAAGACAATCACTGCCACAAAGGAGCTTACATAAAATATCACAGTAAAGGACAGCTCTCTTTAAGGGTCCTTTCTGTCAGTTTTTCTATTATTACAAAATTTAACAATGCCTTTTGGCCTAACTTTGTTATTCTTTTTCACTAACTTTTCACTCACTAATATTTTAAAAACCAGTTTCCAATGCATTACTTCTTTCTGTTGAATCCTACATTGACGGTGAATGATGTCCTTATGATACACACTCATTTCCAATGTGAGGCAGCGAGACATCATCCTTTATAATCAATGAGCTATGGCTTTCTTTAGAAAAAAGCATGAGAAGAAACCAAGTCTAAGCAAGTGAAATTTCTTATTTTTAAAAACCTGAAATAATTACCAAAGAAACTTTCTACTTAGACTTTTCATTTTAACCTTTGTTATTTGATGTAAAAATTCACCTTTAGAGTAGTATTGCACTAAAACATTTCACACTTTTATTTACCATGATGTGGGCTATAGCAATGCCCTATTAATATCTTCCTTAACCCCACCCACCACCACCATTTTACCTGTCATCATAATACTGATGTGGGTGATACTGCATGACATCATGAAGAAAACGATCCAAAAGGCTATTGGTACCCAGCCGATACCTACAGTATGTAGCAAAGTATCTGTGTTGGGGGCTGATTATATGCTGCAAAGAAAGAGAGACTGGGTTATTACTGAAAGGGAGGCACAAATAAAACAAAGATGTATTCATGAAAAGGTTATAAGGTTCAATTCCATTCAAGCCAACAAACGTTTATTGAGTGCTGATTATCTGTGAGGTAGTGAAGACAAAAATTCCTCATTTTAAAATAAAAGATGCTAGAAAAAGCTTGAGCGGTTGTTTCTAAATTCTACTCTTTCCCTGAATTTCTCACACTTCAGAGCATTTCTTGGCACTCTATTCATTCTGCCTTGTCTTTTATTCACTGCTATACATTTTTTATTCTCCCTATTAGAGTGTAAATACACATAATTTAGAGCAAGAAAAGGCCTGAGAGATCATCAGATCTAACCTGCCAATTTGAAAGGTGCAAGTGAAGTCCACCAAGGTAAAGTAACCCATCCAAGGTACTGCCCACCCCACCCCAGCAGCAGTATCAGTTCTAAAGCAAGCACTTTTTAAAAATTCAATGCTTTTTCTAAGAAATCAAGCTCCTTAATCACAAGGATTATGTCTGATTTCGTCTTCGCACTTTCTAAACCTGGCACATGCCTTGGTCTAGCTGAGGGGTGCGGAATCTGTGGCCTCGAGGCCACATATGGCCCTCTCGGTCCTCAAGTGAGGTCCCTTGAATAAATCCAAACTTCACAGAACAAATCTCCTCAATAAACCGATTTGTTTATAAAACTTGGAAAACTTGGGCTCAGTCAAAAGGCTGCACCCAAGGACCCAGAAGGTCACAGGTTCTCCATCCCTGGTCTAGCTAAAGGGGCTAATAAATGTTTGCTGGATTGAACTGAATTCATTACATAACTAAAGGTTCAGTTACTTTTGCTTAATTATCTTTGGCAATATGACAAGACTTAGAACTGTGATATGCTTAAGTCACATTAACAATATTGGAAAACTGAATTGTCTCATTAACAGGTAGCTTATATATACTTATGGAGAAGGATGTTTTCCAAAATGTAATCTACACAGAGAACTATTAGAAGCACTTCCTTCCCAGGGTTATCTAAAAGTCCTGACCTACAACAATCTTGTCCCATTCATAGTCTCAACTAATCATGACTATCACAACCCCATCTGGCTCCAGGCTTCCAGAGGCTTACTCTTCTAGGCCCTGACACTGAAAAGTAACCTCAGAGATGAAGAGAACAAGCCCAGAGAGGAAAAAACAAGCAAAGCCACACTTTAAAAACTTAGTCTAGCCCTTATCTTCCTCCTCCAAGAAAGGTTATGTCCACATAGCAAAACAGATGATAACAAATAATGGCTCTGTCTGTACTTATACAAGCCACATCTAAAAACTCACCTACAAACTTTAATTTTTCCTCCCTTTGTTTCCAATATAGCCACTATCTGTCTCAACAGGAAATACTAAGACTCCTCAAATAGACTTTTAAAGCTGTAACCAAATACACGTGTAAATCAAAATTAACAAAAAAACATTAACATTCTAAACTTCAGAGAATGTACTTGAATTTCTATTATGTCAACTTCACAAGTAAAAACCTATTACGTCTACCTGTTATGTTTAGCAAAAGAAGAGACAAAAAATTCCTCATCAAGTGATAATATTGGAAAGGAAAAGATTAAAGAAGGGAAGGCAGACACACTGTTATCGGAATTGTGAAATGATCTAACCATTATGAAAAGCAATTTAGAATTATGCTTTAAAAAAAAGTGACTAAAGTACCCATGGACCCTCTAATGCACAGATACCACCGCCAGGCATAGATTCCAAAGGAAGTCAGACAGAAAGAAAGGTATCATATACTCCAAAATATCCACAGAAGCACTTTTTGTAGTAGCAAAAAATTGGAAACAAAATAGATATCCACTGATTGAGGTACTGTGGTATGTGAATGTAACTGAATACTACTATATCATAAGAAGTAATGAAGAAGCATGGGACAACTTTTATGCCCCACGACTACCACAATGTAAATGAAAAGGGAAAAGAAGTAAATATCACATAATTGTGATGATCAAGCTTGGCCTTAAAGACGTCAAAAAATGAACCTCTCTCTTTTTTACAGAGGTGGGGAACTAGGGAAATTGAAAAACTACAGTGGAAGAGCATAAACTGTCAGACTCAGTTGATATGTTGCTTAGTTTCGGTAAAGAGTTTTTTGCTTCTTAATTTTTTTGTCTCTTAGTATATATACTGGGATAACAGATCAGGAATGAAAGTGATGTAAAAAATTTTATATGAATTTAAAATTAAAAGGGAAAGAAGAATTTCATTATAACATTTAACCTTATATAATCTAATCAGACATCTTTTAACCTGAAGAAACCTTTCAAGTATATGGCCCAAGTAGAATGCAAAGAAAGTCTTAACTTTAAAAACCTGAATGTCATTTCTAAAGACAGAAATTCTAAAACACTGCTATTGTCAACAACACTTGAAATAAGAAAACACGGGTTAAAAGCAAGTTTCTGTAATGCCCTGCTAAGTTATTAGGCAGCTCTCACCTGTTCAAGGTTAATATAGTGCACATGGCAACAGTTACAATACCCTTGTCGGTTCTGCATGATGGATCTACTAAAGCTAGCTGTCTCGTGGTTCCGAACCCTTAAACTAAAACAAAGAGATATGAATAGCATCACAATACCAATAAGAAATTTCCTAAATATTTGTTACATTCATTTGTTTGTTTTAATGGGGGGGGAGAAGTTATGAAGGGAGCAAACCGAAATGCTTTTTAATGAAATAAAGTAAATTTTCTAAAAATTTAAAGAAATAATATCTGTGGACACAACTTTATTCTGAATACTATATTTTTCTATTCCCAAGGTGGTATGTGCTACATCTGGTGAGGCTAAACAGGCTATCTAGCCCCCCTTTGACAACTGCAATGATTGCTGAAAAATGAGGGTCTTCTAAAGAATAATTTCCAGAATTTGGGAAAAGTAAAGACTAGATTTATAATAATTTTTTGAGAGCTAGTCATTTTTACCATTAGGGTTTGATTCTGTGGGAAAAACATCATCCTGGGCAATACCACAATCAGTCTTTTAAGAATAATTAACTCTTCTAGGATACTAGTGTACTAATATAATTTACTCACCTTACAGCATGTACCTTGAACTTATTGTTTTAATATTTGCAATACATTTCTACTTTTGCAAAGTTCCTTTGCTTTTTAATTAAATATTCAAATAGAAGATTTATTATACAATGACAAGTGAACACTGTAAATGTGATATTAACAACTCACTCTTACAATCTCTGATTCCTTATTTTAAACGTCCCCATGCCACATGATCTTTCCTAATTAGCTCAGAAATAAAGAACACAAATGTTTACAGATTTTTATAATTAGAGGAGGAAGTCCACGCAAGTGGACTTGTCTTATTCCCTCCATCAATGCAGACAGGAAACTCCTCTGTTACTTACAGTCCCAGAGAGTTGTCAGGGATGCTAAGAGGTAATGTAACCTCCTCAGTCACCCAATACTTATGCATTCATAGCAGATCTTCCTGATGTCAATGGTGGTCTCTCTCCTCTATGCCACACTAGTGGGACTTTAAATTAATATTTGAAATTTTAGACAAATTATACTATAAACATTTTTCTCAGATTACCAAAAAAATAACAATATATGGGTGTGTTTTTTAAACTGTTTTCATTTTCTCTGGAAATAATATAGTTTTGAAAAATCTACTACAGTAATCTCTACTACAGACCACTATAGTAATCTTTCACAAACATTTGGCACTATGTATTCTGTGACATTATTCAAAGGATTTCACAGGATTTAGAGGTAGAATGATCTTTAGAAAATATCTAATTCAGGGGGCAGCTAGGTAACGCAGTGGATAGAGCATCAGTCCTGGAGTCCGGAGGGCCTAAGTTCAAATCAGGCCTCAGATACTTGACCCTCACTAGCTGTGTGACCCTGAGCAAGTCATTTAACCCCACTGCCTAACCAAAAAAAGAAAAAATCTAATCCAAATCCCTCCATTTTCCTGATGAGGAACAGAGGTCAAGGAAGGTGATGGCTTGCCTATATTTAAATCACTGCATAGAGAAGACATCTGGTTTTCCACTGGCTTCTCTTTATACTTAAAGTATTATTATATGATTCTATAATTTGGGTCATTATGATTAAAGCAGAATAAACAGGCTATTATCCTGCAACTAAAATGATCTGTATCATTAAAATCAATAAAATACAAAATACAAAAGCCTAAATTGTTCAACTGTTTATATACTTTAAGTTAAAATGTCCATTTCTACCCCTGGAATGAACTTACCTGAGATTTCTTTCTCTCCTCTGAGAGCCTGCCTTCTAATACCTACAAAAAAAAATGAATCAAGCATACTGTGGAAATAAGAAGACAAAAGAAATGATCTCCAAGTTTATATTTCTCTGTACTGCCTTACTACCATTAACTGAATGGAAACTACAATGCAAAATCCCTCAAATAGTTTTATTTTAACAAGTATAATAATAGATATAATCACAGACATATAATCACTAGACTTCAAAAGCCTAGTTTTAAATCTGGCCCATTAAAAAATAAGTATTTTTAAATGCAATGAGATTCTTGAAGATAAAGTGCAGTTTTACAGAAAAGTCTCAAGTCTATAAAATTTTTCCAGTTTTCCTCAAAACAACCTTTAATGATCCAAATTTAATAATATGCAAATATTTTTACAATTTTCCCCACTACGACACCAATGATTACACATAAAATACCTGTGAACAAAACCAAGCCTGAAAACACAGAACTACCATATACATTACAATTCTATTTTATTAATAAAATTATTAAATATTATAATTCTTACATATACTTAACACTCAAAATAGACTTCTAATGAAAGAAATAATGAAACTTCTTCAAACTAGAGCTTAAGCACTTGAATGTCCAATTTTAAGGTATAATCTGTGTAAACTTAAATGATGAGTAAAATTCATTAGACACACTAACAGCACAAACATGACAAAAAAAGTAATAATGAGATATTTGTCATCCTATGCACTACCTATATAGGCCTAAGGAAACACACAGAGAACAGAGGTTTTAGCCCAAAAAGCCAAACAGTTGTAGTAATAAAGCCTACCATTTGGATACCAAATGAACAGTGAAACACCTGTCTAATTAATCAGTGCAGACCAGTGGAAAAGGGTTTCACTCAGAATCTATGCTTACACTACTCTGGATTTGGGTTGAATGCACTGATGTTAGTAGCTTTACAGAACTCCACTGGTACTGAGTAGTTTAACAAAATTAACAAATACTTCACCTTGTATGGAAGAAGCAGAGGCCACCTCAGCCGTTTTAATCCTGTTAGACATCTGTGAATTAAAAAGAAAAAATGAAAATCCCTAGAAGAGTACCTTGGAGTACCCCCTCAGTCTGCTCTCCAGCTTACCACTGACTATGAGTACTTTCATTGACTAAAGGAGTACTTTCATTTTAAGCAGACCCAATGCTATCTCCAGTAGTAAAGATAAAGTCTCACTATTAGGCAATATTTCAAACCAGACAAAATTGGAAAGATTATTTTTCAACAACTTTTCTCTTGGGGCAGCTAGGTGGCGCAGTGGATAGAGCACTGGCCCTGGATTCAAGAGGACCTGAGTTCAAATCCGGCTCAGACACACAACACTTACTAGCTGTGTGACCCTGGGCAAGTCACTTTACCCCACTGCCTAGCAAAAAACAAACAAACAAACAACTTTTCTCTGAGTCTCACAACATAACTTCATCAGAAGAATGCTGGGTTTGGTAAGGATGCTTGGGCCATTGAACTCATTATCAAAACCTAAAACTTTAGAAAAAGAAACCGTAGTTGCCAAACATACAACACACAATATAAGCTATACAGAACATAGCATAGCTCTTAACTAGGATAAGAAAAGGTGACAAACAACATGGGAATTTGTTTTGCTTGACTATACTTATTTGTTATCAGGATTTTGTTTTTCTTTTTTCTGGGATGGGGGGAGGAGGAAAGAAAGATAGTAAGGAGAAAAAAATGCTTAAATGAAAAAATAAAATTTAATCAAAAAAACAAAAATACAGAGAAAAAGGAAAACTTATATAAACTGACACAAAGTGAAATTAAGGATAACCAGAAAACAATAATATAAAGAGCAAAAAAAAAAAACTGAAATTGAACACAGGAATTTTAATGGTCATATTTGGCCTTGAAAAAGAGATATGAGAATGTACTCCTTCTGTTCAAAAGAGGGAGACTATGGGTGTGGAACACTGAATAGAATACGCAATTGTAATCTACTGACATGTTGGTTAGTTCCATAGAATTGCTTTTTTTCCTCTGATGCTTTTTTATTATTTGCACAAGTAATAATCAAGTCAACATAAAAGACTAAATCATATGTAAAGTTAAAAAAAAAAGAGGAGGCAAAGAAAATAGTAATCTCAAAAGATCTTCAAGACCAGAAGGAAGAAATAAATTACCTGAACACAAAAAATCATTTATTTCATTAAATGTAAGGAATTTCCAATGTGAGAATTCTTTCCACCCCTACAGATAACATCATAATCCATGCCTGAGGCACAAGGAAGTTAAGTAAGGGACATATAGCTATTAACATCTGAGGAAGGATATGAACCCAGGTCTTCTTTAACCCAAACCCAGTGAAGGCATTCTGCTATCTAAGAAAGAAAGAATTATTCTATACAAAATAAACCAAAATCTTAGGTACTATGTGAAGGATCAATCTATTTTCCATTACTGACATTAATAATAGCACAAAGAGGGAAAAAACAACATCTTATTCGTCCCACCTATGAATTACTATAGGGGTTGGAAGGCAGCTGGAGGTAGCAACTATGGTCCTTAGCCTAGATGCATAACAAGGCAGTTCAATCAATCAAGCAAGCACTTTATTAAGTATCTGGCAAATATGTCAGTCAGTATGCTAGGCAACAAGGATACAATGAAAAAAATGAAACCATCTCTGGCCTCAAATAGCTTATATTCTATTGAGATAGACAAGTACACGTATGCAAGCATGTATAAAAATATATACAAAGTATAAAGAAGAGATAAAGAAAAAGAATGCGTTCTAATTGATAAAATTTTGAAGAAATAAAAAGAAAAATGGTCTAAGTTCAATTTATGTAAAGCCTTGAATACAAGCTTTAAAAATTCAGATTTTTATCCTATAGGCAATAAGGAGAAAGTTTTCAAGCAAGGCATTTTAAGTGGTATTATAGGAAGATTTCTTGGCATTAGTGCTCTCCTGACTCAATGGAATAATTCCTCCAAACCAGGTCTTAAACATTAAGGAATTATTTAGCATAATAAAATGCTCAAGTATTCACCTTCCATAAGTCTAACTCTAAAGCAGGCAATGCTACAATTAACTCATATCAATGAAAATCTGGCACTGCTTTTCAGTCCCAAAAGGTGAAAGCTATCCGTGGTTTTAATTGCAAAAATATAGTCTGACTTTAATGATTTTTAATGCTAATGTTTTCTTTTTAAAAAATGAGAAAATCACGGAATATCAGCATTGCAAGAGATTTCAGATGTATGTCCAACTGTGTGGGATGCCACTCAAATCAAAAATAAAACAAAACACAGAGGTGTACAAGGAGAAACAGAAAGTTAATTTATTATAGCTATAATTATTATTATTTCAAATTTTGAGATTTGGGTGTCCCTCTACCAGTCCATCAGTAAGCTCTGATGACAGGAGACGGCCCACAGAGGTAGAAATCAGCTTATATAACCCTGAAGACTCAGCTCCCCCTCCCTCACAGCTGTCCATTAACTCGGCTCACAATCTCACAAGCCAGACTCTAACATAGGATAAAGGACATAGTATACATCTCTATATTTCTTAGTTTGTTGAGATGTCAAAGAAGCAATAAAAAAAAATGTGCAGTTAGGAAGATAATTTACAATTGTTTTGGAAGGTTTTAGGGATTGAACAGACAATGTTGGGAACAGGAAGACATCTAAGTAAAATCCTGTCAAAGGGAGATAAGGGGACTGGAAGAATTTTGGGTTTCCCGGGACTGGTAGACAAACGGGAGCCAAAAAAGAACACACATCTAGGTAAGGTCAAAGGCCAGAGCTTTAACAACTAGACAAATTCCAACCACTAATATCTGGTACCAGGAAAAGAAAAAAAAAAAGATCTTACAGAAATCTATACTTAACCCTATCCCACCTCCTGGACCCACTACCAGATCCAGGATAGTCTTGTCCCAAATCTTAATTACACTGAGAAGTCTTCACAATGGTATTCCATTCACAACCACAACTGAACAGGAGTCTGTTCTACAATATCTCCAACAAGAGATTATTCCGCCGCCCCAGTGAGTTTCTGAAAACCTGCTTGATTACCTCTTGAGGCAAGCTATTCCACTTCTGGACAGCTCTAACTGTTAGGGACCATTTCTTTACAATCCAGTTAAAAATCTGTTCCCCTGCAAATTTTATCCATCGTTCTTAGTTCTGACTCCCTGGAACCAAGTAGAACAAAGCTAATTCCTCTCCCAGTCAAATCAATCAACAAGCATTTACATTATAGAATGTAACCCTGTGCACATTCCAGTCTTTAAACTACTTGAAGACAGCTATTCCTATTTGTACCCTCTTCAAAACTAAACATTTCCAGTTCCTCAGTCCAATTCTCATACGGCAAGTTCTATAGTTTCTTCAACATCTTATTTTGGTTGCTCACCAACTTATAAGTGTCCTCCTTAAAACATGGTACCTCAAATACAACAGCAGATTCCAGATATGGTCTAATGACAGCACAGTAAAGAAAAACCTTGCTTGCAACTGTCAGTGCAACCTAAGATCAAAACAGCTTTTTTGGCTGCTTGATCCCATTATTGCTTTATCCTGAGATTGCAGTGTACTGAAATGCAGATTATTTCTATTTGAAGTTTGTTTCTATCTAGACACACCTCCCTCATCATGTATTTACAAAGTTGATCTCTAAACCTAAGAGTAGGACTTTACATTAATCTCTATGAAATTTTGCCTTATGAATTTGGCTTATCATTTTAGCAAATCAAATCTATCTTTGGTCCCAACTTTATAATTCAATGTGTTGATGAGTCTCCTAAGCTTCACCTAATTCACAGATCTAATAAGCATTCCTTTTATACCTTCAACTAAGTCACAGACAACAAATTAGTACAAAGAACTACAAAGAACCAACAACAGCTTCCAAGTCAACATCCACTCCCTAATGGGTAGCCACCCATAGGTGCAGTCATTTAATCATTTCCAAATTTAGCTAATTATATTATCCTCCCATCTTGTCTGCAGGAACTCCTTTCAGAATAAGTACTGCTAAATGATATGGTAAACATGGAGTCAAAGGGAAACAACATTTTATACAAATTTAATTAGGAATCTTTTTTTTTTATCATATCCCATATAAAACTATTTTTATTTGATTTAATAGTCCAAGCGTACGTCCCTACAACCACTCTGGGCTTAAATTAATTGCCTGAGTTAGACTTGGCCAATCATAAATGTAGTTAAGCACCTTCTCTGAGCCTTATCAGTCAACAAGCTTTTATTTAAGCACTTATTAAGCGCTAGGTACTGTGCTAGGCACTGTGGATGTAAAAATAATTTTTTTTCTAGTAAGGCAATTGGAATTAAGTGACTTGCCCAGAGTCACATAGCTAATGAGTGTTATGTATCTAAGGCCGCATTTGAATTCAGGTCCACCAGACTCCAGGGCCAATGCTCCATTGGCACCACCTAGTTGCCCTGTAACAATCTCTGCTCTCAAGGAGTTTTCATTTTATTTAGGGAGACAGTTTACACATATTTATGTATATGTGTAGCAAATACAAGGCAGTTAAAAACAAAGTACTTAGGAAGGAAGGGCCACAGAAATAAATGGATCAGGAAAGGCTTAGTGTAGGTGAGACTTGACTTGGGTCTTGAAGGAAGAGAGGGATTCTATGAGGCAGGGATTAGGAAGGAGTGCATTCTAGACATGAGAAACAGCCTGAAGAAAGGCAAAGATATAGGAGATGGAGTGCCATGTAAAAGAATGAGAAGGACAGTTCATTCAGCTGAACTTCAGAGTCACGGAGAGAAAAAACAGATAAATGAGGTTTTTGTTTAAAAAGGCTATCACTTCAAGTCTCAAGAGTTGCATAGGGCCTTGCCCCAGGGGCACACAGCCAGAATATGTTAGAGGCAGGACTTTGAAGCTAAGGGTTCCTGACTGCCAGGTGGACTTTCTCCCCACTGCACCAAGAGTGCCTTTTACTATCTTCAGTATGTCTCCTTTCATCTAATTTGGTGTGCAAATACCCTTTGCAGTTATAGAAGTCTCTCTAGACCTTTTTCATTCCTCTTTTTCTATTCACTGGAATAACTTCTGTTTAATCTTCAAAATAAAATTCTTATATTTCACATTACTCCTAGACTAACTTCCCCCTAAAATTTTAGTCCATGGAATTTTGCCTCTTTTCTCTGAATATGAAATCTCTTCTCCCATCATGTATTCATGCCCAGCTTTCTTCTCTGTTATTATGATCTCTAAGATAAGAGAGTCAGTTCCTTCCAAAGGCTCCATCATTTCTACTCAGCCAACAATGCATCCATATTAGTCACAATCAAACCTAGAATAGCATTTCTCCCTGTCACTGCTTCCATCATTTAAAGATATAACTATCTCTCTAAGGAGAGACAAGACAGCCCTATGGTAAACTCAGAGAAGAAAAATACCCTACTTTTCACTAATGTTTAATATGTTTAATAGGAATGTATATGTACTGCCTGTATTAGATTGAGTGCCAGTCTTGGGGAGGGAGGTGGAGAGGGAGAGGGAGAAAAATTTGAAGCTCAGAAGCTTATGGAAGTGATTGTTAATAATTCAAAATAAATTAATTAAAAAATTTTAAATATACTCCACTTAGTTGAGCAATAAGATAATATGACAAAAGTAAGATAGAATGAGTTGAAGATGACAAGGCTGAATTTCTAATGCAGAAGAAAAAGAAGTCTGAATCTTGCTAAAATGTTTAGAGAGAAAATAAATACAATGGTTTCAATGAGAACAACAATTTATAGGGCTTGTATTCAATAATAAATTTTGTAGAAAGGCTGAAGATAATAAAGAGTCACTGGAGTCGAACGAACAGGGCAATGACAGGGTCAGGCTTTCATTTTGGGAAGATCATTTTGACAGGTTGAGTGGAAAACTGACTGGAAGATGAAGAGATTTAAGGCAGAGAGATCAACCAAAAGCCTACTGAAATACTGCAAGCGTGAAGTAAGGAGGGCCTACCTCAGGGTGGTGGCAGTGTCAGAGGAAAGAAGGGAAAGACAGATGTTATGAGAGTACAATCAAGAGGACTTGGCAACTGATTAGATATGGAGGGAAGTAGAGGGAAAAGTCTAAGGAAAGGAAGATGACACCTATGGTGTGATCCTGGGTAAGTAGTAGGATGGTAAAATTTGAAAGGGGGGGAAAGATAATGAGAACTGTTTTGAACATGCTGAATTTAAGATGTCTTTAGGACATCGAGTTTGAGCTGTCTATAGCTAGAAAAGTCAGACTTGAGGTAGAGAGATAAATAAAAGGTCAGACTGAACAAATCTGAGAATCATTTACATAAGAATGATAACTGAATCTATGGGAGGACAAGATCAGCAAGTGATACTGTACAGAAAGAGAAGAGAAGAGGCGCAGAACAGAGCTATAGGGGACACCCAGGGTTAGGCTAGTAAGCATGATCTGGGTGAAGATCCAGTAAGGGAAACTAGAAGGAGCAGTCAGACAGGTAGCCAAAAATCACAAAAACCTAGAGAGAAAAGAATACTATGGAAAGGGGAATGATCAACAGTCTAAAAGGCTGCTGAGAGCTCAAGAAGAATAAAAATTGAGAAAAAGGCATCAGATCTGGAAATCAAAGAGATCATAGGTAGCTTTGGACAGAGCAGTTCCAGCTGAATTATGACGTCAGAAGGCAGACTGGGGACAGCTAGGTGGCACAGTGGATAGAGCGCTTGCCCTGGAGTCAGGAGGACCTGAGTTCAAATTTAGCCTGAGATACATAACACTTACTAGCTGTGTGACTCTGGGCAAGTCACTTAACCCCAATTGCCTTTAAAAAAAAAAAAGAAGAAGAAGAAGTCAGACTGCTTCTTGGGAGTTCAAAAGAAAATGAGTGGGGAAGAAGTGGAAGCAATGATTATAGATGGCCTTCTCAAGGAGTTTGGCCATGAAAGGGAGGACTGATGAAGGACAATAGGTAGTAGACAAGATCAGACCAAGTGAGGGTTTCAAAATGATGACAGACACATGAATGTGTTTGTAGGCAGCAGAGAAACAACCAGTAGACAAGAAGAGATTGAAGATTTATTGAGAGAATAGGAATAACAGAGGGGGCTATCTATGGAAGAAGACAGAATGGAACTGGACAATTTGTGTAGTACATAGAAGAGTCTGCCTTGGCAAGACAGGCCACCTTTTCATGGGAGACAGGTGGTAGAAATAGTGGCAGAAGGTATCTATGCAATATAAGATAAATCATAATTATGATCAAGCAAAATTTAAATTATGTCCAATATATTGTTTACTAAAGCAAAAACAGTGTTATTTACTTGAGTAACACTGCCATTAAAAAAGAGTGAAAACAAAAATACAGTTATATAGGAAATTCATTTATTTAGAAAACATAACTTCCCTACCTACATCAGATAACTGCAATGCCAACGTATTTATATTATTTTACAATTACTGAGGGTTTTTTTAAGGGGTGAAAAAAACTAACCATTCAGAATTTTCTTATGAAAAGCAGAGGCCACTAAAAGGCAGTTGATTAATTGTAATCACCAATCACATCCATACGAGTGCTGAAACACACATCCATTCTCTTGGTAGGAGAGTAAGAGATGATGGGTGCATACCTGTCAGAAGCAATTGCCACGCCAGTTGGTTTTGATTTACTGTTTTTCTGGATTACAAAGGAGAGAATTCAATGGCAGAAATTGGAAGAAGGGGGCAGTACATTAGAAAAAGACTATGGGTAAAAACTAAAGGCATCGATAAAAACTGAAGTAAAATTAGAAGTGTCCCTTTCCCACACTGCAGTCTACAAGGCTACAATAAACATATATTTAATGTAAAGGATCCAGTGATTCTCTGAGAATTGCCTTAATACCTAAAAAGACTGTTCAGCTGAGAAGAAGCCAGACAAATGTGAGAATTCTAGAGGTTCTCCCAAAGGTTTATAATATACACAAAAGGTTATGGTATACCTTGGTACAGTCTAGTATCTCAAAACTTATCCATATTTGACTAAGACCCCCAAAGAGAGATCAAAATTTTCCTGCAATTTCTAGGCTCTCCTGGAAAACCAGGATCTTTAAGGGCCAAAGTGGTGAATACTCTAGGTTCTATTTGTCTCATGCCTTCTACTACATAGATTTCATCTTACCTCATTCCTACAGGGCTCCCAAAGTCATCCTATATTCTAAAGGCTAGAAGGAGCTTTAAATTCATATCAAACAAATTTTAAGTTGGGAAACAAAACATGTATTTTAAATTTCTTAAAGAAAAAGCAAAATATAAAATTTATTATTCTGCTAAAACTTCTTTTTCATGGATACTGATCTTTTAGTGTCCAACCAAAAATAAATAATATTCATTAGCCGAAGTTAAGTGACACAGTATACAGAGTGCCAGGAGTGAGGAAGACCTAAGTTCAAATCCAGCCTCAGACATTATAAAATGGGGATGAACCCACCTTGCAGGCTGTTGTGAGAATCCAATGAGATAATATCTCTAAAGAGCTCAGCACAGTGCCTGGCACATGGAAGCACTATATAAATGTTAGCTATAATGATTATTATTAGATTTTTAAAATTAAATATTATCTTTCTGACTCATACCTAATTTTAATCAAACAATTCAGTTACTTGGTTACCTTTCTGAGTTCTCAATTACAATCTTCAAAGTTCTTTTAAGTTTTTCTTTCACAAGCATGATAAACAAGAATGTGATATTTTGACAATAATTTTTCCTATACCATCTGATGGCACAAATTATCAAATACCAATGCTTAATGAGGAAAATTATGACATTTCTTTCCCTGTCTTTCAAATATAGCTTATTTATCCATTACTATTTAAGTCTTGTTACAGTCTTGTCTAAAAGAAGAAGAATAGCTAAGACTCAAGGTTGCCCACTATATTCCTATTATGGTATGTTCTTATTCTCTCTTCCTTTTGAAAATTTGCAAACTGATGAAGCAGGTAAAGAACTACAAGTACCTAAAGAGGGTAACTGTTAGAGCTACTCATCAAGCAACTGGTGCAGGGAAAACCAGAAACATTAAAAAGTATTCTAAAGTGCACTAGTGCTAGAAAAGAAAGCTCCAGGATACAATCTAAAAGAGCAGATTGATGTTTTTGCCAACTTTGTTTTATATTTTTTCTTTTTAAAAAGAAAAATTAAGGGCATTTAATCAAATGAGTTGCTGTTGAATATTTTTAACTCCATGAGGGGAAAAAAAAATCTTCACTTAAGGTTCTCATCTTTATAATTTTACATTTTCCTAGTCTCAAATCTAAAATTCAACAAGTGGCTCCCATGTGCAATGCAATTTGCTAAGCATGAGAACAGAAAGATAAATAAGACATACTTCTTGCTTTCAAGAAACTTAACCAGCTAGTATCACAGGCTTTATAGCATCGTAAATTCGAAGATCAATTTAAAGAGGTCACCAGCTCCAATCTCAACATTTTACAAATGAGGAAATAAAGGCCTAGAAAATTTAAATGACTTACCCAAAGCCACACAGTGAATAAGTGGGAAAGCCAGGAATCAAATCCAGGTCCTCTGATTAAACCCAACACTCTTGCCACTGCACCACACTAGGATCAAAAAGGGATAAAAATCACAAGTTAATCAATCAACAAACATTTATTAAGCACACGTCAGGCACAGGATTACAAAGACAAAAACCAAACTAGTACCTATTCTCAAAGAGTTTACATATTGTCAGGAAAATCAGAACAACACCATGGAGTGGAATAGAAATGTTTTTAAATCACCACAATCTAAAGTCATTTTCTCTTTGGAGCAAACACAAACAAGAAAGTAAGACGCCTGTGTTTATTATCTGCTTAATAGCATTCACCGAAATTTTTCCTCTTTTTTTTTAAATAACACTAAAACTTAGAGACTTGCCAGCAATGTTAAAACTCCCAAAAGAAAATTAAAACTCATGATAACTTTGTTATCAAATTACACAAGTAAACTACATCAAGGGGAAGCTAGGTGGCACAGTGGATAGAGTACTGGCCCTGAAGTCAGGAGGACCTGAGTCTCAGACCTCAGATCAAACATTTGACACTTACTAGCTGTGTGACCCTGGGTAAGTCACTTAACCCCAATTGCCCCCCCAAAAAAAAAATAAATAAATATATGTATATATATATATATATATATATATATATATATACACACATATATATATATATATGTCAAAATAGTCTAATCAAAAATAAGTTATTTTAATAAAAGAAGATCTTTAACTTTTTAAGGGAGCTCCCTTAATCTAGCATTACTTTGAAGAGATGAGCTTTCCTATAACTATTTAAAACCAGAAAAGAAAAAGAAAACCCTAGATCACAAATCCACTCTGACTCAGACTGGAAAATAAAATGAATCGTTTCGAAGTTTTCTTCCTTACATGCAAATTTTACATTACATTCACATGCAAAACAGAAGAAGCAGTAAGGCACCTACATTTCTTACCAGAAAGGTAAGTGCTGGTATTTTCATCAATAACCTGTTGGAAAGATAAGTACAAAGGGCCCAAATTGCTAATTTAGCCTTATAAGTCTTAAATATAAACCAAAGGAAAATTACTAGACACTAACCTTGATAGTAGCCCTTTCCCCCACAAAATTAAGACTATTTCAAATATATCAGACATTAGACTTCAAAGCTGCAGCCTTCTTCAGTCTTAGGACATCAAGTCAGTACAGACATCTGAGTTGGAAACCTAAAAATGCAGAAAACCACAGGACTTATTGTTTATGGACATCTCCAGCAATCATTAAAAAAGGTTAAATTTCTTAAAAGTATACTAACCATAAGTCTCCCTTATGTTTATGAAAAATTTATAAAGATATTTAATGATAATTTTATATAAAAGACAAAAACAAATCAATAAATATTTACTAAATACTTATTATGTAAGGTATGGTACATGGTGCCCTTGTCTTCAAAGAGTTAATTGGGAAAGTAAGACATAAGTTAATTATAAAGCTAAATACCATATCTATCCACCTATTCAGAATCTAGCTTCATTGCAACTTCATACATCTAGGACACAGCTAAGAATCAGGAAATAAGCAAAAATACTCTGACCATCTACAATGCAACCATCCATTCATTCAATAAATCAACATTTATTAAATGTCTATTGTGTAAAAATCACTAGTCTAGGCACTGAAAGAAACAAAGTTTAAATAAGACATAACCCCTACCATCAAAGTAATCACAAATAACTACAATACACAATATTAGAAAGTATAACAGAGTGTTGCATACAAAATGACAAATAAATGAAATTCAGAGGGAACTTACTGATACCAAAAAGTTCATGCACCAAGCTCATGTATTCTATTTTATAGGTGAGTACCTCTTGCTCTCAGGTAAAGCTAGTTTACTTTTATTTTATTCAATCAGTCAACAAGTATTAACTAAGAACTATGTGAATTCAGGCACTGTGCTAGGAGTGGGGAATATAACTACAAAGAATGAAACAATTCCTAGGTGAAATAAGCTTACATTTTAATGGGGGAAATAATAAGTATGTATAAAATATATTCAGTATAAATAGAAAGTTAATAAGTACAAGTATATACAAAGTAATTAAGTACAAGATAATTTAGAAAGGAGGATACTAGCAGCTGGGGAGATCAGGAAAGGCTTCATGAAGATGGTGCCTGAGGTGCATCTTTTTTTGTCCAACTAACTGACTTTTTTTTCCTTCCCTTTCTACCTTCCCCGCTACTTTGAAAAGGAAAAAAGAAAAACAACTTTTCAAAGAAATATGAATAGTAAGGCAAACAAATTCCCCACTGGCCACGTACAAAAATGTTTGTTTCATTCTGCACCTTAAATTCATCACCTGTTGGAGATATGTAATACGAATCATCACTGGCCCTTAGATCTGTGGTTGGTCATTACAATTATCAATGTTTTTAAGTCCTTCATAAGTTGTCCTTGCAAGAGCAGGACATCTAGAGATGGCCCCCATGCACGAGTGACAGCCAGTGAAAAGGAACAAATACCAGAGATGGATTACCACGTATGAGAAACAGAGAAGGCCAGTTTGGCTGGACTGAAAAGTATCGGACACGGAGTAATGTCCAATGAAGCTGGAAGATAGGACAAGGACAGCTGTGCAGGGCTTTAAGAGCTAAAAAGAGGAGTTTTTACATTTTAATCCTAGAAGCAACTATAAGTCTGGAGGTGATTAAGAAGAGTAATCATATTTTCAGATTTGTACTTAAAAAAAATTATTTGGACAGCAGTGTATAAGATAAACTAAAGTGGTTGACAGTTAAGGCAGAAGGACCCATTAGGAGGCTGTTGCAATAAGGAATAGCTGACAGTGACAGCCTAAACTACAAGTAGCTGTGTGAGTAGAGAAAAGGGGTTAAATATGAGTTATTGTGAAGATAGAAATAGCAAGATTTGGCAATCAAATAAATTCATAAGGTAAGAGAATTATAAATCTAAGACACTTGGATGAAAGGTGGTACTTTTATAGGAACAGTTAAGTTTGGAAAGGGGAAAGATACAGAAAGATAATTAGCTCAGTTTTGGACATGTTGAGTTTAAGATGTCTTCAGGGCAACCACTTCAAAATGCCTAGAAACAATTGGTATTCTGGGACTGAAGCTTGGGGGTGATACTGGGGCTGGATGAATACCCTGGTAGTCACCTAATCCATGGGAACTGATGAGATTACCAAGAGAGAAAGTGTAGAGGGGAGAAGAGGATCCACCATCAGCGCACATGAGATGGCCACTCCACCAGCAAAGGATACTGAGGAATGGTCTAACAGGTGGGAAAGGAAACATCATGAAAACTGAGAGAGTATGCAAAGGGAGAAGATGATCAATCATGTCAGATCTGAGCTGAGAAGGAAGGCAAGTGAGAAAAGATTATCAGATCTGGCTATTAAGAGATCACTAGTAACTCTGCGGAATGCAATTTCAGCTGATTGATGAGGTCAAAAGTGAGAATGCAAAAGGTTGAGGGGTGACAGAGGAAGAGGAGGCAGCAAGTGTAGACAACTTTCAAGGAACTTTCTTGAGAAGGAGAAGAAAGGCACAGAGAACAACATGTACAAAGACGGGAAACAGAACATTGTGTATGAGGAACTGCAAGATCAATCTGGTCGGACCACAGAGGAGGTGATGGAATGGTAGATTTGGGGGTGTGGGCTGTGTGGTTTTAGACAGATTTGAGTTTGAGATGCCTACAGAATATTCAGTTCTCTCTGACCTGCCTGAATTTGTGACGGGCAGCCAAGTCCTGCCTCCACTTTCATGACCCAGTCTACAACCTCAAGGATCATAAACTCTTGAGCTTGACACTGAAAGCCCTCTACAATCTGACCCTTATCTATCTTTCCAGACTTATTTTAGATTATTTTCTTTCATACACTTGCCGTTCTGGCCAAACTGAGTTTATTAACTGTTCCTAGAATTTCACATTCCATCTCCAATTTCTGTGCCCTTGTATAGGTTGTTGTAGTCTATTTACAAAACATTTCCTTTTTACCTTTGTTTCCTTGGAATCCCTAGTTCCCTTTTATTTTTTAGCTTAAAAAAATAAAAAAGATATATTTATATGCTGAGTTTAATAGATGACACAAAAGATACCACAAATATATTGTCTTTTAAAGAACTTTTCACTGCAGTTTTGGACTTTAGACATGATGTCAAATATTTGTTCATGTGCACTCATAGTTATTTCCCTAGATTGTTTTCTCATTTACTTAAAAGCAAAAAAAGAACCAAGTTAAAAAAACAACAAAGTTTGACCAAAGTCACTTCGTTGAAATATTGTTACCATTTCATAATTAAATAAAATGAATACTTAACAAAAGTTTTTTTAAAAATCAGAAGCTCATGATTTTAGAGTATTCTATAACTTTCTGATTTTCTTATAACTTTTCACAAGAAAATATTCAGAAAAGTTTATAAAATAGTATTATAAAAGATTGAGAGATATAAAAATAAGCAGGGCTTCTGCAGGAAATAAGACATTTTCACTGCCACAAATCTTTAGTAGGCCAAACTTAAAAACCAGTCCTCAAAAAAGATAAATACATTCTAGAAAAAGAAAAACAACAGCAGCAGCAATTCCAGGGTGTGCCATTGGTTTTTCTTTTAATAACATAACTTGCAAAAAAAAATTCATATAAAATCAATTTACAGTCAAATTCAAGTGCCTATTTGACCCAGGCACCTTCACTATATCACCAGATATTTATCCATTGGACACTGCTTTAGAGCCCCCAGCAGGGTATGGAGTAGTTGAAATCTTCCATAGAGAGATAAATAGCAGTGGCATCTATGATGATTCACCGACTTGTTTAAAAGGGAAAAAAAGAAAAAAAAAACAGGACTTCAGATGCAATTGATACAATAGTATTAAGCTTTTCTCCCCAATCGATGCATTCAAAGCATCATCAACCTTCTAGAAATCCAGACATTTCTCCAGGAAATCTAGAAAAAACACCTCCAGTCTCACATCTCCAACTGCCTAATGGACATCTCAAACTGGATATACTATGGAGCTCTCAAGCTCACATGTTTAAAACTGAACCTTTCTCCCCCAAACTCTCCCCACTTCCTAACTTGCCTATTACTTTGAAAATGCCACAGTCCTCCCAGGCAAGTAGATTTATAACATATGTGTCATCCTCAACTCCTCATTTTCTCTCACCACCATCCCATCTCTAAGGCCTGTTAATTTTATTTTCATAATATCTCTTATACATGCCCCCTCCTGTCCTCTGACACTGGCCACCAACGTGGAACTGACCTTTGAACTCTGCAATAGTCTGCTGGATGGTCTGCCTAACACAAGTCTCTCCAGTTCATCCACTACTCAACCATCAAAGCAAGTTTCCTAAAAGTACTGTTCTAACTACCTCCCACTCCACCACTCCATCCCATAGTCAATAAACTCCAGTGGCTCTCTATTTTTTCCAAAAAAAGAGTCAAATATAAAATCCTGTTTGGTATCCAAAGCCCTGCCCCCTCTTCTAGTCTTTTTATATCCTATCCTTCCCTTTCTCAACAGCCCAGTGACACTGGCCTCCATGATGTTACTCAAACAAGGCACTCTATCTCCTGACATTTTCTTTCATTGTCTCACATGCATGAAATTGCTCTCTCCTCATCTCTGCCTCTTGATTTTCTTGGCCTCCTTCCTTTGAATCTCTAGTGTTTAGCACAGTGCCCAGCACATAGCAGGTGCTAATTAAATGACTAACTGCCAAATCTTATGTCCTTTTCACAATTCTAATCATTTTTGAGCTCTCTGAAGCATCTGACACCGATGGTCACCTTGTCTTCTCTGAGGTTTTCATGACCTTGCTTCCTCCCTGATCTGTTTCACCATTCTTCAGTCTCCTTTGCTGATTCTTCATCTACTCGTTGTGAATGTTCCTAAGACTCTGTTCTGTATCCTTTCTCTTCTCCCTCTATCCAGGGGTGGGGAACCTGCGGCCTCAAGGCATACTATCTCCCCCAGTTTCATCAACTTCCATCATCATCTCTATACAGATGTCTCCCAGATGTATATACTCAGCCCCAGCAGTCCATCTCTTGAGCCAGCACAGTCACTAACTTTCTTTTTGAGACATCTAAAACAGGATGTCCTGCAGACATCTCAGACTGAACATGTCTACAACATAATCCCAGTTACCCAGGCTCACAACCTCATTGCCAACCTCAGCTCTTCTCTAGCAGT